TGACCTTGAGATGAAATAGTTGATACTACAGAACTTTGAGATAATATTAACATATTTGATATTTCTAGCAATATTAATTGTGAATATTATTAAAATTCTCTTTATTGATATTTTTCTGAATATATTTCATATTTAAACTTTCTTACTAAATCTACTAAATTTTTTGCAAACCTGATCAGTTTCTTATAATTATTTAAATGTTTATTAAAAATAGAACAAGTTGGCCTGTTTTAAGGTAACAAATCTCAATAAACTTTCTTATATATGTTTATAAGAACCTTTTTGCTTTGTGCTAGCTATACTTGCTTCTTCTTCTCTACTTAGAAAACATAATATATTAGTAAATTTTAGCCAATAGTTAAAATATATAAATCATACTTATCAAATATTCTACAAATTATAGTCTATAAGTAAATTATTTATAATAATATCTATCAATAATAATATAATCTAACATATATAAGACACTTCATTAATACTAAGTTTTTTTGATCTAAAAAACTTTCACTTTGGTGACCCCCCAGATCTGACTAAATACTCTTAATATCTGATTTGTAAGATTCTGTAATTTTTCTGAACTATCTAAAAACATACCAAAAGATATATTATTGGCTTTAAAGAAATCTTTTTAAAATAGCTCTTTTTTCTTTATTTTAAATAAATTCTTCACATATGGATTTTAGTATTATATTTGTGGACAATAAAAACTTCTTGCTTGACTGGTTAAAAATCTCACAAAATTTCTTTGGCAATTTTGTAAATGGTTCCAAACTGTCATCTAATATCCTATTATATAAAAAATAATCATATTTCAAATTTTCAACTTTAATTTTTGATAGCTTTTTCTCAACATACTTCCACATAGTCTTTTTATCACCCAATGTTTTTACTACAAACTAAATTTTATAAGTTAATATGATATTAAAAGGTAAATAACAGTTGGTTATAAATACGAACTATAAACTTCATTCTTCAATGTTTTAAAGTTTTTCTTTGCATTATTGATTCAAGATTTTATCTTTACATTATATAATTATTTTTAATCATTAATAGATAATTTTAAAATTCTTGAAAATACTGTAATAAGATTATTAGAGTGTTGTATACCAAAGCATTTAATTAAATTGAAAAACAAATATAGTCAAATGCTTTTGATACAGTACCTAAAAATGAGAATAAAAACTATTTAGTTAAGAACAAAAAGATTATTTAATAACAGTGTTGAACACATGGATCAATTTGATTTTTTTTTTTTATATAATTTTTAAGAATGTGACATCAGTGATAAAATTTAATTTCAACAAAATCTATATTTAGTGTTTTAGCATATGCAGATAGCTACTGCCACACCAATAAAGATACTATTCACATATCACTTTATATTTCATTTGCCTTGGTAGAAGAAGACGAAATATAATAGATACTGTTTCGTCATCTCCTTATAAAAAACCTACAAATTCATCATATCTAATAGTAGTGTTCCGCAAAATGGATTCGAATCCCATATTTGCAGATCTTGCGAATCCGAATCCAAAGAGAGATTCGATCGAATAATATTTGATTCAGATTCATTATTATTACTGAAATACACAATCGCTAAACCTCTGATTTCTTGTTATCCGGCAAACTCATATGATCATGAAAAAATTTCTTTTTGTTATTTTTTTCATGTGTTACAAGGCAATAATGTTTATTCGAATTAAACTTTGTTAGCCAATCATGACTTGAGAATTTGCCGGATAACACTAATATTGAGTCATGCGTTGATAAATATCGATGCATGATCAATATTATATACTTATTATATTTTATTTTATTTTTTTTTCAAATGACAGATATCGAACTTCATTGAATAAATGAATGTGCAGCATATATTAATGGGTTAAGAAGATTCAGGTGCGAATCTTGCTTCTTGTGGACTGTAACGCATTTATTTCTATCGTTATGCAAGTTCCAAATTAAGCAGTTATTAAATATACTTACCGTATAAGCACAAAATAACGCTCAGAGGAGTTATTTTAAAAATTGAGTGCTTCAAAAATAATATATGGTCTCGAATTAGCGCTCACGAGCGTCCCGAATTAATGCGCATCCTAATGTAGCACATAATTTATTGTTGCGATATACAGTCGATACTCCATATGCGCACTCTATAAGTGCATTTCAAATAAAGTGCACGTAATTTGATCGGCCTAATGTAAATATTTAATATATCTATTGTATGCAGATTATTCTCCATAAATGAATACTCTAGCCTCATCGGTTTGTCTGCTTAGCCGTCTTTTCAATATATTGACTTATTTTTTAGTTAAATTTAGATATTTTTTTTTAATTAAAATTGGATTGGCTTTTTTTTTATTTTTTTGTTAGAAATTTGCACTTGGGAGTTAGCGCTTCGAGTGAGTCGATATAATTTAAAGTAACTAGTAGTTTTTTATGCAACTACAATAAAGAAATCTTCCATGAGATTTGGATCGGATCGAATCCGAATCTTTAGAAATATTCGCTAGATTCGATCCGTGCGGAACACTATCTAATAGCTCCAAGTTGCTATTAATTATAATAACTTACGTGCTGTTTTGAAATTTCTCCACTTCTAAAATTGCAGAACCTTTCTAATATTTTATTATTACCGTACAGCGCGGACCACGGTACCCCGGGTATAATACAATCTACAGTCAAAATTTGTATAATACCCAGGGTACTATATTAAGCAATTTTTCATATTAAAAGTTTTTTTATATAGGATATACCCCCGGGTATTTTACATTCCACCATGAAATTTTTTAATAGGGGTACTTTGCACAGGGGTACCGTGGTCCGTGCTGTACGGTATTATCAATGTTTATGGTACTTAGTGATCTTCTCAATGTTTCAATGAAATTCTTCTCTCTTTCTCTCGATCATTCGTCCATTCGCCTGACTCAACTCGTTTATACAATGTGTTAAAGATTGTTATAACGGAAGTGGGTTCATGGGAAACCAAGAATTGTTCCATTTTTTAAATGTTAATATAAAATAGTGTGTAGGTTCATGTGATAAAAAAAAGAATGCGCATTTATCTATAAGTCTCACTGTGAGGCTAGCTTTCCATCGTGCATTTAGAGAGATGCTACACTTAGGGCAGTGTTGTTGTTGACTGGAAGCTGGAACCTCACTGGACATCCAGATTTTTTCAGTGTTTCAGTGACTCCAGTGAGAAATCCCTACCGGAATGATTTTTTCCACTAGAATCATTATCATTGACCAATAAAAATACGTAAATTGTCAATGGTCCCAATCATTTCCTCTTCAATACTAGTGTTCGGCACAATCAAATACTTGTGATTAAGTCGGACGTCAAATAATCGCAGCTCAACCAATACTATATATTTAGCTTTGTTTGATCAGCGATCGTTTTGACGTCCGACAAAATCACAAGTATTTGATTATCATATTTTTGTTACTTAATAAATTTTTAATTTTTAATTATTAGCACAAATAAAATAAGACAACGCCTATTTTAAACCATGGAAGTTCATTATTACTACAATTTGGACATATTTTTATTTGTCAAATTTTTATAATCGTAAGTTATATGAAATACATGGTGCAAAATAAAATTAAATAGTAAATACTATATTCATAAATTTATAGTTTACTTAGATTAATAAACGTTCTGCTCACTAGATTAATGCGAATAAAATGACATTAAACAGTAAAGATTCATTAACTTTAATGGCTTTTTTAATTAGATTAATAAAATTGTTCTTAAACTCATTGGATTCATTCAAACGAAATAAATTAAACAGTGTAGTAAATCTTCATGAAATGGAATAGCTTATTTCAAATACTTAGATAAATAAATGTTTATATATATAGATAGGAATCGGATATCCGCCAATTTTGTAGCTTTCAATACAGTATTATTAGTGCGATTGGTGGCCTTTTCGCCACCCATATTTTTCTTTTTTTTTAATCACATTGGTGAATTACTGTAAAAAAATTCTATTAAGAATTTATCATCCATTGCGGTACGACTTGGTTTGCATCAGAAATACATGATTTCTATCATGATTTACTGTAAAAATCAGTTGCAGAACTTGCTAATGCGATTATACTTGTTGGCTAAACCTGGACAAATCCCAAACCTCTAAAAATAATTGCTATTTATAAAAAAATTAAATCAAACAAATAATCTTAAAATTTTATAAGTATGTCTATAGATATATATATATAAGAATATATATAATTTATTTAAACAAAGATTATTAATAAAATTTTTGAGCTATGAGTTTAGCCAGACCCTTTGGGTTTGTCCGCTTTAAATAAACTTAAAGTGAACAAACCCAATGGGTCTGGCCAAACTTATAGCTCAAAAATTTATTAATAAAATAAATTATACTTATTCCTATAGTTATAGATAATATACTTGTAAATTTTAAAATTATTTGTTTAATTTAATTTTTTATAAATACAAGTATAAATGCGATATGCACAATAGTTAAGGTTGTGTTGGTTTGTATTGAAATATTATTCCTATCATGAGTTGCTATAAAGAATTCTATTACAGAACTTCTAGTAACTTTACTGAACCGACCTCACTAGATCTCGCTAGACCTTTCTTCCAGTGGTAAAAAAATGTGACTGGAAGAGTCTAGCGGCAACTAACCACCAGAATTATTATTTCTTCCAGTTCCAGTGATCCAATTGGTCCAACTTTGCAGCAACACTGGTTTAGGGGGTTGCATTTAAGGAGTCTGATTGTATTTAATTTTATTATTAAATTAACATATATATTAATATTAACTTTTTAAGTTATGACACTTATAAGTCAATGGTGACAATGGTAACAATGGTAACGGTAAATTTGTCATTGATCTTTGTTGTTGATCACAAAATGGGAATCTTAAAAAGGAATTTTAGTGTAGCATGACTCCTAGAAATAGTACGCACGTTAGTCTGTGAGTATTCACTCCGGTTATTGTATCTTTAAAATAACGTATCCACGTACGATAACTATGAATGAGCCTCGAACGCCTACTAAAGCGAATGAGTATATAAGTTCTACTAATGTAGAAATAGTAGACCATACAAAAGCAGATGATTTTTGTACTTTATTATGGTCAAATGTTAAAGAACCTCAAGGATGGACCAGTCTTGCGTATTTTATTTTTTTATCACCAATTTTTTCGACGTTTTGTGCAATATGGATTTGGGCTACGTTTTTTTTAGCAATACCCACTTTAATTCTTCCACCCCTTGGATTTTTTTGGTGTATATGGACCGCTTGGAGTTGGAGGTATTCAATTAATTTATCCTAATAAATATATCATTTAGTATATAATGGTTTGTTTGTTTTTTATTGACGTTCAAATGTCAACCAACTTCTTTCAGAGCGCTAGGAAGAGTAGAAATACTAACATCACAAATATGTACAAAACCTGGACAATGGTGCAAAGTTCATCCAGATAATAAATTACCACCGATACTTAGAGTGTCAGAAGAAAAAGTTGGAAGGATAAGATTTGCTGTCTTATTATGTACAAATAAGCATACTTGGCAATGTTTTATTTATTTTGCAATAATTAAACCTGTTGCGATGATTATATTTCTTATTTCCGCAGTTCTTCTAGTTATATGTGCACTTCCACCATTTACATTACTAGGACTGCCATTTATGTGCATTGGTTGTAAGAGAATGGGTGAATTACAAGTTCGTCTTACTAGAAGTTTCTTAGCTTGATAATATAATGAGATTTTCCATTTTATCTTGTAATTAAATAATTATAGAAGTTGCTAATAAAAATAATTAAGTTCTAATATTATATTAATTTTATAACATGAAATTGTAACATATGAAGCAAATTAATAAAATTTATTGTTATATTCTATCATTTCAAAGCGTATCTGAGATTTGCTGAAAAAAAAGAGTGCCGGTTCTCTATCGAACGTCATAAATAAAATTCTTCAAAAAGTGTAATGTTTTTGAGATGTCTCGAAAACACTGTTTATTTACCTTAATTGAGCTGAAACGGAGAAGACCCTTCCATGTTGTTCTAAATCCTGCAACATGAATAATATATGGACATCAAATCTAAATTCCAGGTACAAACCTTAATAGTACTATTGATAACGATAATAATACGTAATTCGCATATAATGATGTTAATAAAGATAATAAATATAAGTAGTTCTTTTGTGTCGTTTGTCTCATTTTTTTATAGCAAAATTGGAAGAACACTATATTGGTCATATCTGAATTTACTAATAAACTATTATTCGCGTCCTTTTTTTTTTTTTTAGTAGTTTGGCAATATTATGCAGAGCTCTTGCTCTTAGAAATTCTGTTTAGGATTATGACAAATTGAATCAGCTTTATGTAGTAGAAGTTATAATCTAACTATTTTATTCACTTGATTATTAAATATTTATGACTTTTCTTGATAAAGAGAATATTCAAAGTTAAACAACTGCCATATCTACCTAGATTACAGTAACGTCGCGAAAATAAAGGACATGAACGTTATTTAGGGCTGTTAACGGAGTAATCCAGAGCGGTGTGATGTATACTCTGTAAGAATAATTAATAAAACCAAATCACACCAGAGTTACTACTCCAGACTAAGCCCCATAGTTTTACGGTACATTATTCCGAATTAAATTTTATAAAATATATTTCTATTATAGTTTAGATTTTGATATATAGAGAAACTTCATTTAATGCTATGATATTATCTTTAATTGCAACTATTGGTAAAAACTTATTTATATTTTTAATCTGGAACAATATGGCATCTAAACCACGCTGGTGTGGAGTGGGTTATACTATTAGATTACTATGGTGTGTAATACTTCCATTAACAGCCCTAGCGTTTCGACCAATTGTGTCTTAAAATGCTGAAATGGCATTTTATTGTTTCCGCGCGCGTCCTAAATAACGTACCCCATGCAAGTGCTATATAATTTATTATGCAAAATCAATTTGGTTCATTTTATATTAAACGATATAGTATATATCTGTTCTGTACTAAACAACTTTACATAAAACGATTTCGTTTTATATATTACCAAATAACATAAGACGAATCCTTTCATGCCAAGCTTAGAATAAAACTAAATTCGTATTATTTCCAAACATCATAAAAACGGATTTATCTTATTCTAAACATCATAAAACGAATCTGTTTTATATTGAACTTAGCATAAAGCAAATCAGATTTGGTACAGAATCAAATTTTGTTTCGAAATAATACATGTGTGCGTACTCAAAATAACGTGCATATATTCAAAATAACGCGTTACTTCGCGACGATACGGTATATAAATTTTTTATGGCAAGTTTAAAATAGTTTAGATTATCTTATTATCTCCCGAACAACCTCATTCACGTAACTTTTTCATATATCTATTTCTACTGTACATATATATACAACTTGTGATTGATTATAAGTATTTACTATCCATATTTATCCTTAATGTTAAAGACAATGTGTAAAATAAAGGTTCGTTTTAAAATAAGTACATAAATTTTATGTTACGTAGATGGCAGAGGATAAATCAGTTATATTCCTGTGTAGTCAGGTATAAGCGAAAATTTATTGAGAAATATAACAGATCTTATGTATTGATGTATCAGTTATATTTTTACAGTGAATTTTTCACTTTTACTAACTACCCAGAATATAGCTATTATTGTAAGAAACAATGAATAATTCCAATTTTCGAAAAATACCAATATTGCGTAATTATTTGCCAAAATTTAAACATTCATTCTTTCATTTGAGAGAAATATGTGTTAAATAGAATATTATATACATTTAATCCACTTTATAAAAGAAATCTACCGGTCTCTTAAAGATTTTTTTTAATTAGGATTTACCTCCAAAATAATCATCTTTAAATAAAACGTGATTAATCTTTGGTCTTAAAATAATAAACTTTTTCATCACCAGTTCTTGGTACACCAAGTTCTTCAAGTTTATGAAATACTGCAGCAAAATCTTTGAAAAACAATTCCTCATCTTTTGCATATTTTTCTACGTGTGGCTTAAAAGCTTTATCCTAAATTTAAACAACAATAAAGATAATCACATATATATAATTACATATATATAATATATGCTTTTGAATATAATTTGATTAAATAATATACCTGAATTAAGGAGAGGTCTGCGGGAAGCATCATAAGTTCACCTAGACAAAAAAAAAACCCCAAAATTCCATTAAATAACCTTATTTTTTAATGTGATTAAAGGAAACTTTAATATACCTGTTTCCTTATCAACAAATTGTTTTGGCCCTTTCCATTTTTTTTCTACCCACTTCTTTCCTAAAAGTTCTTGGTAAAATCCATTGGTGAACATTGTGGGACTTGCGATCGCGAATGTGCGTACGGGAAAATGTAAGTTTAATGATAGAATATTATGTGCCAATTTGTTATTAAATGCTTAACAAAGGTTTACGAAACCATATTTTGATTAAGATTTATAAATTTCTTTTGTTCAAACTTTGATTTCAAACCTCGAAGTCCATGGTCCATCAAAACCTGATCGATCTGGATGACATCTTCCAAGGGCGTGCGCACCAGCAAGTACGACAATTTCTCTGATTAAAAAAAAAAAAAAAAAAGGCAATTTAGCTAGTTTTATGATTACAGAGGAAAGGTTTTGTTATGCATATTTTTATGACAAGTATTTCGATTACGATCTGGTAATTACGCATTAAAGTAGCCATGATGATATGAAGACACAGCGATAAAGAATTTAAGTGTGAAACAATCATTATTGAAGATTGGTTATAAAGGGTAAAAAAAAAATTACCGATCATCGAATCCCATACGATAGAAAATGTCTCGAAGATGAGAAGACCCTTTAGACGCATCAGGAAGACGGCCATCCGGTGTACAAGCAGCGGCTTCATCATCCTTACTGTTATTATCATAAAAATCAATAATGTAGAGTGATGATGAAATCGTAACATACAATATTGTATCTAATGATGATTTATTCATGAAACTTACCGGCCAGGTATCCATGGAATTTTAGGCCCTCCCTATAAGGAATTTTATAGAATTTTATAGGAATGAAGCACAATATTTATTATAAAACACTTAAAATTTATTTTTTATAATTTACCATCTCTTGAATAGCAGCAACAGCCGCTAAACTCCATAAATCTGAATATGATATTTCAGGATTTTTTTTTTTAATAGATTCCAATTTTTCTCTCGCAGCTTTTAAGCCAGCATTTGCACCATGATCAGATTCTGGAGAGAATCTCATGGTAGCACCGTTACTACCACCAGTTTTTGTATTTTTGTCATAAGTACCGGCAGCATGCCATGCTAAACGAACGAAAACTGGACCCCATGACCCATCATCCCAGTCATTATCTTCAAGAACATCAGCAATTTGATCATAAATTTTTTGATAATCAGGTTCTTTATTTGTAGGGACAATATTTTTTGCTCCTAATTCAGGATTAGCGAAATAGTAATAGCCAGCTCCTGCTGCAATAAGGCCAGCACCAATCCATAATATAGCACTACTTCCGCCCTTTTTTTCGGAGGTTTGAGCAGTATAATTACGAGAAACCGAAGGGAAAATTCGATTACGTAAAGATACAGAAACAGTAGAAACTGGCGTCAATGAACTGAAGGCAAACGCTGAAGTCCTTGGTGCTCTTGCACGTGTAGCAAAACAACGAGCGAAACGAAAAGTGGACATATTTGAATGACCTATCTAATAAACTAAATTGTATTCTCGTTTTTGTTCAATTGAAAAAAAAGAAAAAATTAAAGAATTTGATGACTTTTTTTTACTCATGATTTTTTTTAGATCGATTACTAATGCGACATGTTTGTACTACGACCAAAGCTAAGCTTCTTCCCAAGCACAATCGAATAAGGAAGGTAATAAGAACAAAATATAAAACGATTCTCGAACATTTAATAACTGCGGATTATCAATCTGCATATATCTAAAATGAATATGACACCATAAAAAAGTTGGATATAGTTTACCCAGTATTTGAAAGAAACCGATGCAATAATTGGGATATTTCTGCATATTTTTAATCGTTTATTAGCCGGAACACAGTGAAAATTGTCTTCATAAGGATCTAGAATCTTTTTAGTCTGGTGCTTGTGTCAAATCTTGATATTAAAAATGACGGAATAACCCAGTTTTGGATTAAAACGATTTCGTAATTTTATTAATTAATTCTTGGAATTGGATTTGTAATAAAAACTAACTCTAATTGTGAAACAATATGCGTATCATGTGACTTAACTAATGATTGTGTGATGGATTAAAAACTGGATATCAGTGTAAAAAATAGACAAGCCACCGAAGAATAAAAATTTTGAGGTGCATTTTTTAGGATTAGGGGTAGGATAAGAGGTTAGTTTTAGGGTAGAGTTTATAATAAACAAGTGGGTTTTAGAGGATTAAATAGAAACCCTCAATTCATTTTAATCCGATTTCATTATGATCCGCGATAATGATTTCATTGCTAAAATGTTCTTTAAGAATAATGTGAATAATGTTGAGTAATGTTCATAGCTAAAATTGAGGATAACTATATATACTTTTAATTGTGCAAAATAATCCGCAATCACTAGATAAATTCTACGATCCTTTCAGAGTCACCGAGAAAAAAAAAAAAGACGCACCAAGTCACTTCGATCTATAAAAATCCGTCATAAACATCTTAAACTAACGAATCGACAAACTTTATATTGTGAAAAACGAAAATGACCAATACAATGAGTTGGCAAATTTTGTATATTGGAATAAATATAGAAAAAGTTTATTAATGGTGGAAAATTATCGATTTTAGCATTTATAAATTCCACGTTTAATTTGATAGTATAAGTTACAACAGAATTCTAATTTAACTCGGTTAGTTAGAGAATTCCGCTTAATGAGAGGATTAAAATTAACCAAAACTAATCAGTACTAAATTAAATTAATTTTATATAAATTAAATAAAATCAGAATTCTTTGACAAACTTATCCACTAAATGGCTGAATCTCAAGAATAATTCACAATGCATTTGAAAGTTATTCATTAAATTTCTTGATAGCAAACCTGCAATCGAATAACACAAGATTATTAAAGTTTTACTGATTCATTAAATACAACTATTGGAATCGTGAAAGATCGGTAATATTTAGGGTGTTCTCAAGCATCAATCGAGATGCGATTTCATAGTGATCTAAATAATGCACAAGTATTGAGGTAATTTTAGCTATTACCATAATATTTTGGATAGAAGTCAATAATACGAATGACGATATTATTGAGATATGCTCAAACATTGCTATTACTATGATTTTTTAATAATTGTAG